ATATATATATATATATATATATATATATACTTGCATCATATTATTTTTCTTTATTTTTTTTTTTTCTTCCGTTTCTTCTTCTCACGTACACGCATTTCGTCTTTCTTTTCCCAAAGAAAACGTGAGCAGACACATTTGCTACAAGTAATATTTTTTTCGTTTCTTTTGTTTTCTCCACACATGCCGCTCATCCTTTTCTCATACAAAAGAGGATAACAAAAAAAAAAAAAAACACGCAGAAAAGCCCAGAAAAGCCCAGAGGGTAAAAGAGAAACCATAATCGTTTAGACAGAAATGAAAACAAAAACAAAAAAAAAAAAAACATTCTTTAACCCCCCGAGTAATTTCATTCCAAACACTTACAGTCGCAATTTCACATATATATTTTTGTTTGTTTGTTTGTTTGTTTTTTGTGGAATTTTACTTGAAACGATCTTCATAATTTTTTTTTTTTTTTTCATTCTACAGGAAGACAATATGCAGTCAATATAACAAAACGCATGGGCAACAGAAACAAAAAAAAAAAAACAGTTCTCTCAATTTTATACAGCAATAAGCAATTATTTGATGTGCCTACAATTCTCAATAAATCTTACCTTTACACGCACACGCATCACCACCTAAGGGACACCTTTAAAACAGAAAAAGGAAAAACAAAGGAAAAAAAAGAAAAAGAAAAAACATAATTATATAACACATACATATTTATAAATCTCTCTTTTATTTCTCTTCACTCTTCACCAAGGAACCATTACTTCTCCTTGGGCGTCGCTTGATTCGCACCATTGCCTTGACAGCAGGTTGTAGTTCTGTGGCCTGTCGTTCCCAGATAGAGCCAAACGTGCAGCTGTTGCCCTCCACCAACTGGACCGCCCCAGATCCTCCCTGATCACGCACTCGGTTGATAACACCAACAGAAAATCCGGGAACACCATGTACGAGTTGAGTATCATATCCCACAATAGTCATAGTCACTGTCCTTCCACTTACATTTTCATCACGACAGGCTCTCAAGAATGTTCCTGTACTACTGATATCCACCACAGAGGCTTCAAGGGCAACATTAAGTCGTTCAAATGCTGTATTAGCGAGAGCTGCAATGTGCTCACTCTCTAAAGTACCAGTAACTATTTTGACCACGGAAAATGAAGGCATTGAGTACAGAAAATCTTCAGCAGAGAACTGAACAGCACGATTCATATTTAATAAACCACTACCCATTTCTGTTGCGACAAGAGCCAGACAACGAAACGCAGGCCATAATGTAGGTTTAAAAGGATGATGTACAATACAATGGGCTAGGTCATAACCGTGACAACCAACATACAAGTCATGTTGAGAACTGGAAGTAAGTAAAAGGGTACCACGAGCTCGCAAAGCTATTGGATCCATAGCAGATATACCTTCAAAGAGTACATCTAATGGACACACCCAGGTTCTATAGAATGATTCATTATTTGCATCACTGAGTGTCACAAGGGAAGTTGTTTCGTCAAAGTCAAGAACAATGGCATAAGAACCACCATTACTTCCATTCCATACAGATTTATTTGCTTGTATGACAGAAACTTGGAAATTCACAATTAGACAACACCGTTTTGGAGCTCGTAAGACAGTACTAATTTGATTACGAATAAATGTCAAGTCAGCATGGTCAGTATCCTTATCCATATGTGTTACGAGAACACTTACACCGTCTTTTGCATGATTTCGAGAATAATTACGTGCAACAGTGGCAGCATCCTCAAGTGCTAGATGTTCAGATAGCATAAATGAAACATGGAACCCACTATTGTTAATAACACTTTCTACATCAGCCGTAAACCCCAATCGATCAAAGGCATCTGCAAGAATTGTAGCAACATAATTCTTTTTTGGATATTCAAAACGTAATAAACGTTGAGTCGGAGGAAGTGCATATCGTGCTTCAGAAAAAATAGAATCCTGAAACTCTTTGGCATTAAGTTTATCAATAGTTTTTTGTGATTTGGCTGCCATAATATATCCATATCCAATAACAGCTGAGTAAAGACGTGTTATTGGTACATGCCACGTTTTACGATACTTTTTAACATTAACATCTGCTAAACGCACAACTCCACGTTCTTGATCCAAACCAATAACAATTGCAAAATGACAAGGTTCCGGTCTGTTGTCTACCTTCACATTAAGTGCAATATTAACATCAAAACCTATAAGTAATACGCTTTCAGTCTCTACCGCAAGTGCCAAGTGTTTCATAAATACATCGTCCGCAATGTTTACTGGACCATCTTCAGCTCCACCACGCCGCGAGACAATTACAACTCCAAGTGCCACAGAAGTTTCCATCTTCATTTTTTTTAGAAATGCATGATACCAACTGAATGCTGATGCCACAGAAGCCTTATTACTACCACCAACAATGGTGGTAATTCCGAGACCAAGTTCTTGACATAATTTAGTTACAGGAATACCACGTAACTTTACATCTGAACGATCAGTAATACTTTGTCTCTGTTGTGACAAACGATCAAAAAATGTGCTAGTCACAAGATGATGCATTAGTGATAATCCAAGAATATGAGGAGCAATTGAAGTATCAAGAGCCGTTGTTAACATACCACCTGAAAGTGATCCATCAAGCACATTAAGTGGAAACATAGATGGTACGCACTCAATAAATTGGTTAGTGATAAAAACCCGAACAAATCCACGAGAACGATTACAGTAATTATCCTTAACACAAAGAGCCTTATAGAGTGTTTGTATAGGAATTGTATGTTCCTGAATTCCAATAGAACCGTCCTCCAGTAAATATGGCGTACCTATAGTTACAGAGTGTAAAGCTGAATTAAAATTAAGAAGCAATGCAAAAGTTCCCTGATTTTTCGCTGACCAGCGAGGAATAATTGGATCTGCAGAAGTATCCGAATCATTAGTTTCCAGATAATTCAATCGCATTCGTATTTCATGCTGTTCAATCAAGTAAGGGTCATAATTTAAAATGGTTATGGATTGAATATCAAGAATTGATAATTCTTTTCGAAATTGTGAAAGAGCTGTAATGGGTAATCGTTCTTCTGTACACATAACATCTCCCACCTCATCCACAGTCTCTGTATCAAAATTTGCCACTTCACAATGCACATGTTTCTCCTGTAAACTCTTGTTGTTAATTAAAAATTCATTTGTTACGTCAAATAATTCTGCGAGTGTTACAGATGGGAGAGAAACGTAATGCATTGCGAGACGATTCTGCCGTAGTACATCCTCAATAGTGATGTTTTCACCTGAAACATAGCTGCATGCAAGGGCAATACTGAGCAACCACGTACAAGATGCCCCTCGTAATTCTGGAATATTACGCACATCGGACGGCAGTCGCATGGTCTTTACAAATTCCTGCAATTTCTTTCGTGCGGCCTCTGCCTTTCGACGCATATTCATGCTGCTGGCGATCTCGGGGGTCTCCACGTCCGGCAGCACCACGCGGCTCGGGGGCTGGGCGGGAAAAATGACGGGGAGGAGCGACGCCGGGGCCGATTGGCCGCTGGCGGGGGTCTCCACCGCCGGGGTGGCGGCGTGCAGGCGGGAACTGCGGCCAATCGGCACCGCCTCCCCGCCGCCATTCACACAACTCCCGCCGCCGCCGCCTCCAACGCCCCCTCCACTCCCAACAACTCCGCCCGGACTTCGGACGATGGGGGTGACGTGGCCGCTGCCGTTGGCGATGGAGACACTCCCGCGGACGAGGCGGCGGATGTCTGCGTGCATCGCCTCCAACTTTGTCTGAATCCCCGTCAGCCGCGCCTCCATACCCGCACTATCCATCGCCATGGGAACAGAAATGGAAATAGAATCAGGGAGTGCTCAGACTTTCCACGTACGTGGACTGTTTTTCCTTAACTTGGTGTATGTGCTTTCAATTAGATTCAACAAATTACAAGAAAAAAAAAAAAAATAATAATAATAATAATAATAATAATAATAATAATAATAACAAAACACACTTACACACAAACAGAAAGAAAGAGAGAAAGAGAAAGAGAGAACAAAGACCAAGTTGTGGTAGGGTAAAGAAAGAAACAAACAAAAAAGGAAGAGATAACAAGTGAAACCCATAATAGTGAAGATGTGTTAGAATATTATTGGTGTCATTGTTGTGTTTATTTGAGAGTACTTTTTTCCCTTTTTCATAGCTTTGTGGACTTTTCTTTTGGTTTGGTTTCGCCTTTTTTTTTTTTCTTTTTTTCTTTTTCCTTCTCAACGAAGAAAAGGAAAAAATTTTCAAAAATAATTTTAGGGCATACATCTGAGACATTTCTTTGGGTACGGATGTACGTATAAAAATAAACGCTTTCATTTGATCACTCTCTTAAAATCCAAGTGAAACGATCCATACAATGCCCAATAAAATAAATACTCCCTTCATAACATATAAAGTACCCTGTGAAGAGAATAGCAAATAATCCGAGTTAGCCATACTGGCGCCATTGTTTGAATACCACTCGTCACGCAACTTTGAAGAATCGGTAATATCCACATCCACAATATCTCTGTCACTATCAGTAGAAGACATTGTGAATGGCAAAGAATCACGACCAACATCACCACTACTTCCCTCCTCTGACTCAGTAATAAAACATCTTCTGGTTCTAACCCCCGATAAAGAGCTTGCATTGCTCATACCAAGGCCACTTATTTCACTCTTAAACTCAAAAATAGTACCACTACTAGTATCAGTAATAGTAGTAGTGGAATCACGGATATTTTCACGGGAACATACGAGAAGCATCCCATCATGGGTTTCCCCATCAAACGTGTAGAACTGTGGTATTACCAAAACACGTCTAAACCCCCGTTTAAAGTAGTATAACAGTAATTTGGTATCTTCTGCCAAACAATGCAACCAAACTTCCTTTACACCACGCTGACTCCCATTATTATGCAAGTTGGGTAAAACATACAAATCACTACGCTCAGTCTCACGCAAAACTAATTCTTCCTTCCTTTCCTCACCACACGTTGTTTTTCCAAAAGCAAAAGGATATCCAAATATATACAATGTGACCTTTTCTAGAAGCGACATCCACCAATTCATCGCACTAGTTTTCATCGTCGCTATTGTTATAGTTGTCTTCGTTGCAGATGATGTCTCTTCTGGATTATTCAGGAATAAATGGCGTGGAACTGGAATATGAAAAAACATGTAGGAAATAAATCGTTCTAGTAGTAACTCTCCCAAGCCACGGCAGCGCAATCTCGCATCCACAGCAAAAGAACCCAAGTAACCTGTTGGTGATGGCACAAGTTGTCCATTGCGCTGACGGCAGTGTGCAAGTTGTCCAATACAAAACCCCACTACAACGGAATACGAGGTAGAAGAGTCACTATTATTCACATCATGAGTACCGTCACCATTTTTACTATCATCATTATCATCATTATCATTATTATTATCATCAGTAGATGTACTCTTCTCCATCTTATCGCCAGACTCCATACAACTGAAAATGGATGACAGATTCTTTGGAGTTGCATACGCAACGACAGCTACGCACGAATCTGAAAGCAACCATTGATAGTAATCAGACTCATATTTTACAGGAAATGCGGCATCGTGCAAACGCCAAATTCCGTCAATTTCAGATGATTGAATGCGCCAACGGAGCTCCACAGACAACGACACACCATCATTAGAAGGCAAAACTACAACCTCTGAGGTATTCATCGTACACTCTGCTTGAGAGAGCTTTTGGTAAGAATAAGAACAACAACAACAACAACAAAAAAGAAACAATTGATTAAAAAAACATAACGAAAAGCAAGGTAATAGGAAAACAATAAAAATATCTTCTTGTTGAAAAAAAAAAAAAAACGAATAAACAAAAATTTATTTGATACAGGCGGGAAGGAAAAGAGCAGAACATCAGAAACGATGTCGTCCCTATAACGACATTTAATTACGAAACAAAGAAAAAGCGAATACACAGAAGCAAAAAAAAAAAAAAAAAAAAA